CTCCTGCCCTACACGGCACCACTGCGCCCGGTGGCCGGGCAGACCACGGCCGGGCTGGTGGGGCCCCTTGGCGGGGCAGGAAGGCGCGGGGCCCGGCTTCGGGGGTACCTACATCTGCGCTGTCTGTTATTTATTTATCCCAAAGTCGGATTTATTCTGGGGCAGCTGCAAATCTGCTGCTGTTGGGCAGCCACCGACACGTTAACACTCAGCTCGAGCCTTTTCCCTCCCCCCCCCCGCCCCACCACTGGACAAGCTTAAATCCAAGCTTTTATATACTTTTATTTAGACCTGAAAGAGGCATGTTTCTGCTCCGGCTCCGCTGCGGCATTTAACCCCATGCTGCAGCTTATGAGCTGCAAGGCACCGGAGTAGACGGGGCTTAATTGCGATACAGCCGGCATGCATATGTTTAACTGGTTACGGGCAAGAGAGGGTTTGTAATCCCTTATTTTCTGGGGTTTATAATCTGTCTGCGTAAAAACCTGCGTTCCCGGCTGGTATGCGCCCTCTGAGCCCCGAGCAGAAAAGCACATCCAAAACCAACGTGGCCATTAGTGAGAAACAGGGAGGGGCGACGGGGTGACCCCCTTTGAACCATTATATTGTTATTTTTCTAAACGTTCCTAACTTTCTAAATGTTCGATACCAGGCAGAGGGGGCATGGCCCCGGCCGAATCGCACGTCTCAGAGCATCAATGCACAGAGCGACAAGAAACCTGCCGGATTTACCCCACCCTGGGGCAGGATTTACCCCAAATGCAGACCCAAAGCCCGGCAGCCGACGTGCTCCGTCAGCCATCTCGTCCCGATTCCCATTCCGCTCTTTATTGTTAACATGCCCATTTAACGCGTTCTCCCATCTGGGTTTTAAATTAGCTAGCTGCCACCTTGGACTTCTCTGCAGATTTGAGAGCAGTCTGTTGGGTGTTGCTACAATTATTTGCCTGGTTTTTTTCTGCTCTGTTATATATACATATGATTAAAATTAATACTGCGCTCGCTTTCCAATTCCTATGCATGAGTACAATGGCGTTTTGCTGCAGGCTTTGCCACGCTGAAAGGGATGTTGACATTTATGAAATGTTTCTATTCACCTGATTTTGTAAACTCTCTCATACGTAATTTTTTTTTTTTAATTTTTTTTTAAAACACAAAATAGCAAAGTCTGTGATCTGAAATACCTGCCAGGCTCCCCTAGAATAGCAAAGCAAGTTTCAAACGTTTCAGGCGGGCCCAGAGTGTTGTATCCCAATGTCATTTAAAGGTTGGCACCCAGGGTTTCCAGTGTTTCTAGTTTCATTTTCTCCCCGTTATTATTCACCGCCCACAGGGAAAATGAAGAAAAAAGAAAATAAAAGGGAGACAAAAAAATAGGATTTGGGTTCTTGGTTTTTGGTTTTTTTTTTTTCTTTCCCCACCAGTTGCAAATAGGTGATGCTTGTGGCTGGGCTGGCGGATGGAGCTGTGCCCCTGCCCAGCCCCCTGCCCGGGGCGGGGAGGGATGGAGCCAGCCCGGGGCTGGGCACCCACGGCCCCGAGCGAGGGGGTTCAGAAATAAAGAAGATAATTCCAGAATCCGGATCGTTTTTCACCTTATAAAAATCCTCCGAGCTTATCAGACCCCGAGTCAACACGAGCTGGATTTTTTTATAGCTACTGCCTTAAAAAAAAAAAATAGTCTTTAAATCATTGTAATAATAAGGGAAAGATTCCTAGTTATTTACTGAGAAATGCCACTCTGCGGCTAGAAATGTCACTGCTCCGTCTCGCAAGTGGCACCGCAGATACGGACCGTGCACCGTCCGTGGCACCCGGCCCCGCTCAGGCTGATGGCGATGGCAAAGCCGCCATCAACAACTAGCCCTTAGCCAAAACCTGGATGCTCGGCTGGTGCAAGTCACCGCAGCCCCCCCAGCAGCTGGGCAGGATTTGACCTCTCCCCTTTGCATCC